TTGGAAGCTTCTATGCCAAAACTATTTCCTCATGACAAGACTCCCCCCAAACGCCCCGACGCTCAGGGAGTAGAAAAACACGCGAAATCCTCTACAGGTATGCTCCAGGTATCGTACTTGCTTATAAACACACTTTACTTCACACACACACACACACACACACACACACACAAGCCGCCAATTGAACAAGGACCCTGAAGATGACCTTATAGTTTCTAAAACTCACAATTATCGTATCAGCAAGGCGGACAGTCCGCCTAGTATCATAACTCATACAATGTCATACCTGCCATATATATATATATATGTCGTACCTAGTAGCCAGAACTCACTTCTGAGCCTACTATGCAAGGCCCGATTTGCCTAATAAGCCAAGTTTTCATGAATTAATTGCTTTTCGACTACCTAACCTACCTAACCTAACCTAACCTAACTTTTTCGGCTACCTAACCTAACCTAACCTATAAAGATAGGTTAGGTTAGGTTAGGTAGGGTTGGTTAGGTTCAGTCATATATCTACGTTAATTTTAACTCCAATAAAAAAAAATTGACCTCTTACATAATGAAATGGGTTGCTTTATCATTTCATAAGAAAAAAATTAGAGAAAATATATTAATTCAGGAAAACTTGGCTTATTAGGCAAATCGGGCCTTGCATTGTAGGCTGAAAAGTGAGTTCTGGCTACTAGGTACGACATATATATATATATATATATATATATATATATATATATATATGTATATACGAAAATTGCATTTTTCCACCAAATATCAATGGGGCCAGATTCACGAAGCAGTTACGCAAGCACTTACGAACCTGTACATCTTTTCTCAATCTTTGGCGGCTTTGTTTACAATCATTAAACAGTTAATGAGCTTCGAAGCACCAGGAGGCTGTTTATAACAATAACAACAGTTGATTGGCAAGTTTTCATGCTTGTAAACTGTTTAATAAACGTAACCAAAGCCGTCAAAGATTGAGGAAAGATGTACACGTTCGTAAGTACTTGCGTAACTACTTCGTGAATCTGGCCCCTCGTCAATTAGACGCATCTTATATTCCTGCAAATACGGCAAAGGAGTAAAGTTCCCGTCTGGAGAAATGTGAAAGTTGACTAGCAAATCCCTTTATTCTCAGAGGAAGGATAGACAGGCTTCGGAAACCCTTCCTGGTGGTGGCTGGAGTGCATCAGGGTCACAGGGCGGATGGTCCAAGTGGATGGGACAGTAACATCCTCTACCCTATAAATCTTATGAGGGATGGGGGTGAGAGAGAGAGAGAGAGAGAGAGAGAGAGAGAGAGAGAGAGAGAGAGAGAGAGAGAGAGAGAGAGAGAGAGAGAGAGAGAGAGAGAGAGAGAGAGAGAACTTGAGAGTAAGAATGACATCAGGGACCTAAGATAAACAGAACTACTAGAGCGAATGAGAACTGAGATGAACAATGGTATGGGGGGGGGGGTTGAGATGTGGAGGTGGGTAAGTGGGTAAGTGGGTGGGGAGGTGGGGGGTTGGTTTGAGGGGTAAGACTGGGTTGGTGGGGTGATGAGGGAGGGGGGGGGAGGGATGCTGAAGGGTAAGGAAACTATTTTAAGATTACGTTAAGCCCGTCTGACTACATGACGCCTGTAAGGTATGTGAGGAGCTGGGATATGAGGACAAGGAGCTGGGATATGAGGACAAGGAGCTGGGATATGAGGACAAGGAGCTGGGATATGGGGACAAGGAGCTGGCATATGGGGACAAGGAGCTGGGATATGGGGACAAGGAGCTGGGATACGGGGAAGAGGAGCTGGGATATGAGGACAAGGAGCTGGGATATGGGGACAAGGAGCTGGGATATGAGGACAAGGAGCTGGGATATGGGGACAAGGAGCTGGGATATGGGGACAAGGAGCTGGGATATGAGGACAAGGAGCTGGGATATGGGGACAAGGAGCTGGGATATGAGGACAAGGAGCTGGGATATGAGGACAAGGAGCTGGGATATGGGGACAAGGAGCTGGAATATGAGGACAAGGAGCTGGGATATGAGGACAAGGAGCTGGGATATGGGGACAAGGAGCTGGGATATGGGGACAAGGAGCTGGGATATGGGGACAAGGAGCTGGGATATGAGGACAAGGAGCTGGGATATGGGGACAAGGAGCTGGGATATGAGGACAAGGAGCTGGGATATGGGGACAAGGAGCTGGGATATGGGGACAAGGAGCTGGGATATGAGGACAAGGAGCTGGGATATGAGGACAAGGAGCTGGGATATGGGGACAAGGAGCTGGGATATGAGGACAAGGAGCTGGGATACGGGGAAGAGGAGCTGGGATATGAGGACAAGGAGCTGGGATATGGGGACAAGGAGCTGGGATATGAGGACAAGGAGCTGGGATATGGGGACAAGGAGCTGGGATATGGGGACAAGAAGCTGAGATATGGGGACAAGGAGCTGGGATAATACGAATCAGGTGCTAGCACTGGGAAACAATAAGCTGGGATATGACATGGTATCAGAGTACCTGCAGAGTATCAAAGTATCAGAGTATCATGAATATACCGCCATAGTGACAGTATTGGGCAGCGTCACTCATCCTATGAGTGAACACACCACCATAGTGACAGTATTGGGCAGCGTCACTCATCCTGTGAGTGAACACACCGCCATAGTAAAAGTACTGGGCAGCGTCACTCATCCTATGAGTGAACACACCACCATAGTGACAGTATTGGGCAGCGTCACTCATCCTATGAGTGAACACACCGCCATAGTAAAAGTACTGGGCAGCGTCACTCATCATATGAGTGAACACACCGCCATAGTAACAGTACTGGGCAGCGTCACTCATCCTATGAGTGAACACACCGCCATAGTAACAGTACTGGGCAGCGCCACTCATCCTGTGAGTGGACACACCGCCATAGTGACAGTATTGGGCAGCGTCACTCATCCTGTGAGTGAACTCACCGCTATAGCAGCATTAACTCCCCCTCCGACAGGAAGAAACTCACTGCCTTGTTAATCCTGTCTCTTGTCACCAGGTCCAGCTGGGATTTACCAGTGTACCGCCCATTAAACAACAAGAAGATTACCATCCACCAACTCTTACCGTGCGGATGTTAAGTCGAATATAGGACCTTTAAAGATCCATATCTCTATTTGACAGCTGAGCGTTGTTCTAACTCAAACAATATGGGACTTAGCGCACACATTAGAGACGCCTGATGGTATCTTGGGCTTGTAGAAAAGTCTTGGGTATGAAGTACTCAGTTTGTTCGCCTTCAGCGCCCCCCAATAAGAGGGCGCTGGCGCAAAACCTTCCCAGCGAGCGTAAGAAATATTGCCGGAACAACCGTGGACATCTTCAAGAGGAAACTATCTATTGTTTCCTCCAAGGAAAAACAAATAAAACTCGAAACATTGACTTTTCAACTCATTTATTTTTCCCCATTTCCATTTTGGAAGATATTGTTTCAAATTACCTGTAATTTGGCCCAGTTACTGTATTATTCCATTAGAGGTCTTTCGTGGTCATCACTAGCAACTGTGGCAAGATTGAGGGGAAGGGTGGTTGTATATATATATATATATATATATATATATATATATATATATATATATATATATATATATATATATATATATATATATATATACATGTGTATGTAACATTAACAATTGTGTAACTAAAGATTGTCACTTGCTTAGCTAAACGAACTATGGGGTTCAGTGCCTGAACCCATTATGTGCCTCTGTAACCCTATTCCCCAGACGGGATGGGTATGGGGTGTATAATAAAGACAGAAATTGAGTGATTAATATGCCTTTAATAATACTTGTATTATAGTGATATTGGAGGTTCATTCACGCCTCAGTGTTCTTATTTAGGAACTGAATGAAATACACTATACACGCTCGTGTTGTGTTATGATAGCAGACTTTCCCCCTCTCTTAGCTCCTATCCTCTAGCCTTCCTGCCCTCTAGCCTTCCCCTCTCCCCTCTAGACCCACTCCACCACTCTTTAAGACACTCTTCCCTCCTATAATTACACCCCCCACACACACAACACTATAATTCCGAGTCTTCCATTCTTCAACTCCAGCGTCCGTCACACCACGTGCCTCTCACCAACTCCTTCACCCTAACAAACTACCCTGTTCACCACCCCCTTCACGCCAACAAACGACCCTCTCCAACGACCCTCCACACCCAGTCACCTCCTAACCCTCTTCCCTTACCCCCTCCCTCTTCCCCTCTTTGTGTGTTAAGTCCCCCTTTCTCCCCTTCACCCTTTTCTCTCCCTTGTCAAAACATTTCACAAGCCTCCCTCTCCCCTCTCCTTTACCCCTCGTCCACTGATGCCGACCCTCTTAATTTCCCCGTCTTAAAGTGGACCAATTAGACCTCTTGTCACGTCTTCAATTAACTGTGAAAAAACGGTATAACTTCTTGAGGAGCCAGGAATAGCGGAGCAACAGTGACATAGTGGACAGTGCCTTTACTTCACCTCTCAGACGTTTGTCTTACGTCTCAGACGCTGGCCTCACGTCTCAGACGCTTCCCTCACCTGTCAGACGCTGGCCTCACCTCTCAGACGCTGGCCTCAAGTCTCAGACGCTTGCCTCACCTCTCAGACGCTTCCCTCACCTCTCAGACGCTTCCCTCACCTCTCAGACGCTTCCCTCACCTCTCAGACGCTTCCCTCACCTCTCAGACGCTTCCCTCACCTCTCAGACGCTTCCCTCACCTCTCAGACGCTTCCCTCACCTCTCAGACGCTCCCCTCACCTCTCAGACGCTTCCCCTCACCTCTCAGACGCTTCCCTCACCTCTCACACGCTTCCCCTCACCTCTCAGACGCCAGAAGACACTCACCTTGCGTACCACGCTCCTTACCAACACAGTCATCATTCAGTTCCTTCAAGGCTAACCCGGACATACAATTTCTTGACGACGGATATATATACACTAAAAGGTGTACCCAGCTTCTTAGTGTATATACACCGCGAGAGATGTATATGGACATACACATTATTATTATTATTACTTTCATAGTAAATAATGACAAGGTGGAAGAGAAGGTAAGCAGAAAATCGGGTACTGGTTTGAGGTAATTAACCTGGAGATTATAAGGATGCTCTGTTGACCTTGGAGATGTTATCTGTGTCATCTTCCTCTGTTCGTATACTGAGAGGGATGCTGGAGCCATTGGTATTGTAATAGGGATTTGTTGTGTACACAGTGGTGTACATATTAATGTATACAGTGGTATACATAATGATTTATACAATGGTATACATAATGATGTAAACAGTGGTATACAGTGATACATACAGTGGTATACAGTGATACATACAGTGGTATACATAGTAATGTATACAGTGGTATACATAGTGATGTATACAATGGTATACATATTTACCATCTAGAACTGCACTGAGAATTACACTAAAAAAATGTAAGATGGAAAGTAACATGAGAATATAATTGTAAATGAGTTGACATCAATTATATAATTACGTGTGAAAATATACTTGACACACATACAAATTAATAATCTAATCTTCAATTATAAGATTTTCATTTCAACAGCCTTTGTCATGGAAAATTAAATTGGTCTTATCTCCATTAAATCTTAGAACAGCATGAACTCCTATTGTAAACGTTAATACACTAATTATATATATATATATATATATATATATATATATATATATATATATATATATATATATATATATATATATATATATATATATATATATATATATATATATATAATACACTAGGATTAACCCCAGTTATACCGTCAAGGAGTCAAGAAAGGCGAGTCTGCATGAAGAGTTGTCAAGAGAGAGAGAAACTCTTGACAGAAGATCATGTCAAGTCACACCTCAAGGGGGTGAAATGTACACCCCAGGACACGATAGGTCAAGTTTTGAGGTCAACGAGTTATAATGGCCAGGTCAAGTAGGCTGTGACCTTCTCATCTCATACTTGTGGTAGGTCAGAGGTTCAGAGTGCTTTGATGTGACTAATAAGGACCAACCGCCTTGTCATTGGTTGATAATGAAATTGTCTCGGGCTATTAGGCAGTAGGATGAGCCCAACAGTCTCCTGGATCCAGATAAATAGTAGAGTAAGAGAAGCCAGAAATGTCTGATTCAGGACAGATTCAGATTTAGGGGTATAGCCTGCCCCAGAGGGCTACTGGGTATAGATGCCCCCTCAGGGGGCTACTAGGTATAGCCGCCCCCTTAGAGGGCTACTGGGTATAGCCGCCCTCAGAGGGCTACTAGGTATAGCCGCCCCCTTAGAGAGTTACTGGGTATAGCCGCCCCCTTAGAGGGCTACTGGGTATAGCCGCCCCCCTTAGAGGGCTACTGGGTAGTCCTCTGGAGGGGGCTATCAAGAGCAGTCAAGCTCTGCATGCCTCTTTATCATCTCCCACACGCATATCATGCGCTCGGTGCGTGAAACATTGCGTCACTGCCCCCCCCCCCAAGACATCTTCGCATCACACCTAGTTAAGTAAGTGCTGTACTGCCACTTCTGGCTCCATTGTGTGGCACTTGTTGCGTCACCAGGCCGGACCCGAGCTGCGTCACCAGGCCCTGGAGCTGCATCACCAGGCCCTGGAGCTGCGTCACCAGGCCCTGGAGCTGCGTCACCAGGCCCTGGAGCTGCGTCACCAGGCCCTGGAGCTGCGTCACCAGGCCCTGGAGCTGCGTCACCAGGCCCTGGAGCTGCGTCACCAGGCCCTGGAGCTGCGTCACCAGGCCCTGGAGCTGCGTCGGCCGGACCCGAGCTGCGTCACCAGGCCCTGGAGCTGCGTCACCAGGCCCTGGAGCTGCGTCACCAGGCCCTGGAGCTGCGTCACCAGGCCCTGGAGCTGCGTCACCAGGCCCTGGAGGTGCGTCACCAGGCCGGACCCGAGCTGCGTCACCAGGCCCTGGAGCTGCGTCACCAGGCCCTGGAGCTGCGTCACCAGGCCCTGGAGCTGCGTCACTAGGCCCTGGAGCTGCGTCACCAGGCCCTGGAGGTGCGTCACCAGGCCCTGGAGCTGCGTCACCAGGCCGGACCCGAACTGCGTCACCAGGCCCTGGAGCTGCGTCACCAGGCCCTGGAGCTGCGTCACCAGGCCCTGGAGCTGCGTCACCAGGCCCTGGAGCTGCGTCACCAGGCCCTGGAGCTGCGTCACCAGGCCCTGGAGCTGCGTCACCAGGCCCTGGAGCTGCGTCACCAGGCCATGGAGCTGCGTCACCAGGCCCTGGAGCTGCGTCACCAGGCCCTGGAGCTGCGTCACCAGGCCCTGGAGCTGCGTCACCAGGCCCTGGAGCTGCGTCACCAGGCCCTGGAGCTGCGTCACCAGGCCCTGGAGGTGCGTCACCAGGCCCTGGAGCTGCGTCACCAGGCCCTGGAGGTGCGTCACCAGGCCCTGGAGCTGCGTCACCAGGCCCTGGAGCTGCGTCACCAGGCCCTGGAGCTGCGTCACCAGGCCCTGGAGCTGCGTCACCAGGCCCTGGAGCTGCGTCACCAGGCCTGGAGCTGCGTCACCAGGCCCTGCGTCACCAGGCCCTGGAGCTGCGTCACCAGGCCCTGGAGCTGCGTCACCAGGCCCTGGAGCTGCGTCACCAGGCCCTGGAGCTGCGTCACCAGGCCCTGGAGCTGCGTCACCAGGCCCTGGAGCTGCGTCACCAGGCCCAGCTGCGTCACCAGGCCCTGGAGCTGCGTCACCAGGCCCTGGAGCTGCGTCACCAGGCCCTGGAGCTGCGTCACCAGGCCCTGGAGCTGCGTCACCAGGCCCTGGAGCTGCGTCACCAGGCCCTGGAGCTGCGTCACAGGCCCTGGAGCCGTCACCAGGCCCTGGAGCTGCGTCCACAGGCCCTGGAGCTGCGTCACCAGGCCCTGGAGCTGCGTCACCAGGCCCTGGAGCTGCGTCACCAGGCCCTGGAGCTGCGTCACCAGGCCCTGGAGCTGCGTCACCAGGCCCTGGAGCTGCGTCACCAGGCCGGACCCGAGCTGCGTCACCAGGCCCTGGAGCTGCGTCACCAGGCCCTGGAGCTGCGTCACCAGGCCCTGGAGCTGCGTCACCAGGCCCTGGAGCTGCGTCACCAGGCCCTGGAGCTGCGTCACCAGGCCCTGGAGCTGCGGCCCTGGAGCTGCGTCACCAGGCCCTGGAGCTGCGTCACCAGGCCCTGGAGCTGCGTCACCAGGCCCTGGAGCTGCGTCACCAGGCCCTGGAGCTGCGTCACCAGGCCCTGGAGCTGCGGCCCTGGAGCTGCGTCACCAGGCCCTGGAGCTGCGTCACCAGGCCCTGGAGCTGCGGCCCTGGAGCTGCGTCACCAGGCCCTGGAGCTGCGTCACCAGGCCCTGGAGCTGCGTCACCAGGCCTGAGGCAACATGCCACGGCCGGAAAAAAAAACAATTCCACCTGCCCCATTCTTCAAGGGATCTCATGACAGCTCGTCAACTCATGGGGTGTAGCCACGAAGGCACCAGCACCGGAAGTTGCAGCATATTTAGCAACTGTTGCTAGATCATCTGACTTTAGGGCTTGCAAGGCCTTCACAAGGCCCTTGGTTTGGCCCCAAGGCATTGGCTAAGTGACTGGAAATGTAAATCCTTTCCATGTAAATCATGGAAATGTAAATCATATATAATGTAAGTGACAGTTTGTAAATCATATATAATGTAAGTGACAGTTTGTAAATCATATATAATGTAAGTGACAGTTTGTAAATCATATATAATGTAAAATATATGTGATTCACACAATGAAATCACATATTAACGTGATGTATCAATGGGAAAACCCGTGTAAAAACCATGAGGAGGATTCGAACCAGTGCTCACTTGATGTTTCCTAGCGTCCTAGACCACCACGCCAAGACATGGTAAAAAAACAATGTAGGGATTCCACTGGGATTCCACTGAACCCTTTAGGGTTCCTGAGGCTTACAATTGCAACCCAATCTGGGGGTTTTAAGCATTATTTTCCCCCATAAACTATGGATAATGGTCCAGCACTTCCCCGCCTTAAGGCTGATTTGATCATTAATACATCATGTTAATAGGCAATTTCATTGTGCATTTGACGAAAAGCCAATTACGGTCTGTAAATCCCGGTGGGACTCAGTGTCCTCTGTTTAAGCAAATTTGGCGACATTTTGCCACATCACAGTAGAGTCAATCCGCCATATTTGGGCCAGACGTCAACTTTTGTCTCCTCCATCCAACTCAAAACTGAAATAATTCACATTTGGCGGATCTCGTCTCCCTCCGAGTATACTCAAATATAACGTAACCTTTTAGGTTATGTACAAGTGGGAAGGAGGGAATGGAACTATCAGGGGGGGGGGGAAAGCCAAGTTGTTAAGACTATATAGCACTTGGATGGGGTCAGGATAAGGATTTGGGATGGGATGGGAGGGAAGGAATGGTGACCAACCACTTATGGACGGTCGGGGATTGAACGCCGACCTGCATGAAGCGAGACTGTCCAGCCCAAGTGGTTGGGCGGGGCGTGTACAAGTGGGAGTATGACCCTTACTAGGCGGGAGAGGAAAGTACGTTGCTGGTATATATAACAGTACCCACTGGTACTATACCTGGGGAGTACTCTCTTAATGTTTTGAGAGAGTACTCTCTCATTACTCTCTCATTCATTCTCTCATTCTCTCGGATGAAAGAATAATCCATATACCATAAGGATTAAGACAGAGGAGGACAACAAGAGGCTACAAGAAGACCTGGACAAGCTGAAGAAATGGTCCAATAAATGGCTGTTAAAGTTTAACCCGAGCAAATGTAAAGTAATGAAGATAGGTGTATGGAGCAGGCCAGACACACGGTACCATTAGGGAGATGAAATCCTTCAAATATCAGAGAGAAAGATCTGGGGGTTGATATCACGCCAAACCTGCCCCCTGGAGCCCACATCAAGATTATATAATCAGCGGCATATGCCAGGTTGGCCAACATAAAAACTACCTATTGAAATTTGTGTAAGGAATCATTTAGAACCTTGTATACCACATATGTCACAACAATCCTAGAGTAAGCAGCGCCAGCGTGGAACCCGTATCTATAGAGTCAAGCACAACACTAAACTGGAGAAGGTTCAAAGTTATGCCACCAGACTAGCACACGAGCTGAGGGGTATGAGCTATGAGGAGTGAATACAGGAACTAAACCTCACGTCGCTGGAAAATAGAAGAATTAGGGGGAGACATGATCACCACATACAAGATTTTCAGGGGAATTGAAAGGATAGATAAAGAAAGTTTATTTAACGCATGTGGAACACTAACAAGGGGACACAGGTGGAAACTGAGTATTCAAATGACCCACAGAGACATTAGAAAGAACTTTTCCAATATCAGAGTAGTTAACAAATGGAATGCATTAGGCAGTGATGTGGTGGAGGCTGACTCCATACACAGCTTCAAGTGTAGATATGATAGAGCCTAGTAGGCTCAGGACCCTGTACACCAGTTACCTGACAGTTGAGAGACGGGACCAAATAGGTGAGTACACACACAAAACAGAAACAGTTGATTGATTGACAGTTGAGACGCGGGCCCAAAGTGACGAAGCTCAACTCCCGCCAGCACAACTAGGTGGGTGCTGACACTAGCACAGAGGAGGACAGCTTGCTTGTCAAGGGGAAGCTCCATTGTCCGGGTCCTTAACGAGAGGGTAGTTTAAACTAGGGGAAGTGGTAGGATGAGTGGTGTTGGTGGTGACGTCAAATTGTGGTTGTAGGGGTGGAGAGGTTGTAGTAGTTGTTGTAGCAAGCTTTTGTGGTAGTGATGATGGGAAGTTATGATACTGGTAGTTGGTGGTAGTGACGATATCAGAAGTGGTTGTGATGGTGATATCTCTGTGGTACTGAGTGTGGTAGTTATGTGGTAGCAGAAGTCTGGCAACAGGTCAAAGAAGAGAGAAGATCCTGGCTAGTGAAGAAGAGAATGCTGGTAGATTTAGCGGGGGAAGAAGAGAGAGAGAGAGAGAGAGAGAGAGAGAGAGAGAGAGAGAGAGAGAGAGAGAGAGAGAGAGAGAGAGAGAGAGAGAGAGAGAGAGAGAGAGAGAGATATGAGTGACAAACTCAGTGTTCAGTGCTGAAGCTGACATCTTGTGTGTGTGTATTTAGATAGTGTCATACGTGCATGTGATAGTGAGTGTGTGTGTGTGTGTGTGTGTGTGTGTGTGTGTGTGTGTGTGTGTGTGTGTGTGTGTGTGTCCGGGTAAGTAATTGAGAGATTATGGGGGACACGTCATCCTTAGTCACGGCCATGAATATCAAAGACAGAGTTCATCTGTCTCAAGAAATTATAGCATGATTTGTCTGTCCATCTGTCTGTCTCTCTCTCTCTCTCTCTCTCTCTCTCTCTCTCTCTCTCTCTCTCTCTCTCTCTCTCTCTCTCTCTCCCTCTCTCTCTCTCATCTCTCTCTCTCTCTCTCTCTCTCTCTCTCTCTCTCTCTCGCTCTCCCTCTCTCTAGAAATAGGTTTCTGGTAGACTAGAAATCAAATATCAATTATCATCCATCAAACTATTTTTAACCTGTCCATATTAAATAACTGTCCAATAGTCAATTACGATTTTTAGTGTTAGAAAACATTTAGGTCCAGTTCAAACATGTTTCAAACGCGATTGTTCCATTTTTTTGTTTACTTCGCCGGAATTAATCAAACACTTGAGTGTCCTTTTACGAAACCTGTACATCTTTCTTCCATCATGGCGGGTTAGTTTACATATTTTAAACAGTTTATGAGTTCCGAAGCTCTACGAGGTTATCCGTTAGGATAATAACCCGAAGTTTTGATGTTAGAAAGCTCTTGAACGGTTCGATAAAGACTTCAGTCACAATGATCAAGAAGCGATGTACAGGTTTCGTTGTGACAGAAAGTGAACCCTGATGGGGGACGTTGAACAATGGGAGCCTCGTTCACAGTAGTTGGTCCGTGAGATTACTCCGGTGTTGAGGGCTTTGATGCACTCACAGATTCCTTAGCTAGGACGGGCCAGGACGGGCCAGGACGGGCCAGGACGGGCCAGGAAGGCCTAGGTGGACCAGTACGGGCCAACGTACCAGAAAGGACCAGGAGGACCAGTACGAGCCCCGACGGACCAACGTAAAAGGAAGTGTTAGAATTAACCATTTTTGATCAAAGGAATTAGTAAGATTTGGAAGGTAAAATTATGGATAGGTAGGTGGGGGGAAACTGGAAGCTTAGAATGGGGTAAGGAAGGCAAGAGGTAAGAAAGAATGAGGTAAGCATTTAGGAAGTAAAGGGTAAGGAGGAATGAAGTGGCTCGACTACTCTGGATCTGTAATGTCTAGTGATGTTCTTATGGGGAATATGCACAGCTAAAGAAGCCAGGAAGGAAGAAGGAAACAGGATGAGGAGGAGGAAGAGAAGGAAGGGAAGGAAGAGAAGGAAGGGAAGGAAGAGAAGGATAACGAGGAGGAGGAGGAGGACCTCCATACCAGACAGTGGAGCAACTCAAGCATTGAGCAAATTCGTGCTTCAAATGCAACTTTGCAACCGCTGTTGACGAACGGATGAGAGATGTGTCAATCGCCTGTATTTTGTATCTGTTCTTCTGATTTCAGTAGATCTGTATACTTCTATTCTTCCATCTTCGCTGCCTTGTTCAACATGCGGATCTTTATGTCCACTGAAGAACGGAGCTTCAACTCCCTGTAACTCCACTTCCTCTCTAGGGACCATAAGCCCCTGCCAGCCACCTCAATACACCAACTTAGTCTTCATTTTATCAACAGCAAATGTTGCCTGGTATTACCCACCCAGTTGCAATATTGCACGCTGCGAGGGGTGGACCTCAGGGCTGGGTATCTCCTCTCTCATGCAAGCAGAAGGCAGCATACAGAGCAAAGGATCAGGAATAGTTGGTCACTTGAAGCAAACATTTCATTGCAAGGAATCGTGCATGTGGTGAACAAATCCACAAGGGCCGTGACGAGGATTCGAACCTGCGTCCGGGAGCATCCCAGACACTGCCTTAATTTCGAATCCTCGTCACGGCCCTTGTGGATTTGTTCATTTGATGCATCACGTTAGTGTGATCTCTGTGTGTGATGCATGTGGTCCTCTAGGCACAGTGGCTCCTTCCTGTGGGTTGGAGGACTAGCTTGGAGATTCAAGTGTCATATCAAGTCAGAGGTCAGTAGTGTCCTGTGTCATAATGTACCTGATCTTGGAGTCCTTCAGTGACTGATGGCGTTGAGTGGGAATTAAAAAGCTAAAACAGGAGATCAGCTGACAAACGATCTTTATTTGCAGACTAGGAGTCACAATAACGTGGCTGAAATATGTTGACCAAACCACACACTAGAAGGTGAAGGGACGACAACGTTTCGGTCCGTCC